AAATATTCTAAAATAAAAGCAATATATAGTGATTCTCACAAGCGTAACACCTTTAAACTGTGCCATCACTGGCTTGTGTCCCTGGTGCCAAGATTTAGTCAATTTCAGGTCTTGACTTTAACCATATATCCTCACAGTATGATTTATTTACCAGCTCCCATTTGGCTGGACTCTGACCAACGTCAGTCCTAAACAGGTTTGTGTATGCATCCTTGCTCAAGTCCAAGTTAATGCCACCGCGATCCACCACAAGCACATACACAGACTTTGCTTTGTCGATAGTGTTACTCACACTGAGACACGAAAAACATTCTTCCAGCTTCAGTGATTGGACGGCCGTGATTAGACTAATGTTAAAATAAGTATAGTCCAGTTCACACAATGGTGGAAACTGCACCATCTCTTGTTGTGTTATAAGTGAGTAATTATAGTATGTGACGTTCCCAGAACCCGTCAACTTGGCAGCCATTACGCCGGAGACGCCAAGAAGGATTGCGAGAAAACCAGACCAAAGTGAAAAGATCATGAGTAAGATTATAAATATGAATGAGTTATAATATAAAGCAGAACAGTAGTTTAAACATAATACATAAATGTGGCAGCGTTGAAAGAAAATACGATGCTTGGGTATTTTTTTGTGAGATTATTTTGGTCTGTAAGTGCTCTTCAGTTTATTACAGTTTCTGCTTCAGTGGGCAAACTATTATACTGCAATATATCACAATAAATTGACAATACTTTTATGAACCTGTGTGCAAATTATTGTTTGTTTGTTTGTTTATATGCTCTCCCCTATTAGCAGCTATTCATCTATCTGAATCCTTTGAAACGTGTGTGGCGCACACTCATTGCTAATATGTAAATTTAAATATGTAGCCAATATCCAGATTTGCTGCTTTATTTTTTGTTTTGCTTAATTTTGCAACAAGCAAAATAAAACTATGCCAAGACCATACACAATGTTATGTCTTGATTAAATATATTTAATATATCTAATTATTGATTGTCGCGTACTTTACATGGCGTTTTGTGTTTGAAAAAATGTAAAACACTGTTCAATAAAATCCACAGTGTGCAATTGCAAATTCTGTCTTGATATTAATTAGTTTTATAACAATGAAGTATAAGTAAACTGGGGCCATTAAATAAAAAACATTATTGTTAGCGTCTATATTCCATTGTTTTATTAATTTAATTAACATTTTGTTGTAAAAGCGGCCAAAGGGAAGACCATTGATTGATGGCGATCAACTGATTAACCAGTTTTGGCTGTTTAGCCACATAAACAATAAGTCACACAGTGACCAGAGCAATATGCGCTCTACTCTTTACCTTTCACAGTGCATAGCACTTTAGTTATTAAATATACTTTATATCGTTATACTTTATCTACACGTTCATAGAACTGTTGCGCAGACTGAAGATATGGAAGTGGATGTTGAGGTCGAGAATCGCGAAACAGGTTTCCACCTGCGTGCCGATTGATAGGACGCTAATTGGATCATGCAGGCGTAAATTAGGGAGGCATTACATTGATGCCCAAACATGCTCCCTATCTTGCAATGCACACGCATAAACGCACACACACGCAAAAACCACAACACTGACTCCCTAAGGTACCGGTCTGCCCGCAGAAAATCCGGTTCTCACCAACGGAGCGCACAATTGACAATGTGCACAGCAAAGGCGACAAGGCACATATATAAGATGAGGCCGGCCCTAGTAGTACTTTAGAAACATCAGTAATAAAACCTTTTATAAAATCACCCCTAACTTTTAACACTAGACAACTAGTGCTCCTCACACCCCCCTCTTACTATAACAGAACGTCCTACATTCTAATACTACACGTTTCTAGAACGTTCCTATATTTTAACAATGGTACCATACAGGATCAAATCAGGGGACACAATAATGATATCCTGATATACCCCTCCTTTACATAATGAATATGCAAAGATCATAGCCTTAGAATGCCAAGACACCAGTCTGTCTATAGAAGAACCAGTTCTCACCAATGAAGTGCACAATTGGTGGAGTGCATAATAAATGTAATAGAACTTATTACTACTGTTATAGTAAGAGGGGGGTGTGAGGAGCACTAGTTGTCTAATGTTAAAAGTTAGGGGTGATTTTATAAAAGGTTTTATTACTGATGTTTCTAAAGTACTACTAGGGCCGGCCTCATCTTATATATGTGCCTTGTTGCCTTTGTTGTGCACATTGTCAATTGTGCGCTCCGTTGGTGAGAACCGGATTTTCTGCGGGCAGACCGGTACCTTAGGGAGTCAGTGTTGTGGTTTTTGCATGTGTGTGTGTGCGCTTATGCGTGTGCATTGCAAGATAGGGAGCATGTTTGGGCATCAATGTAATGCCTCCCTAATTTACGCCTGCATTATCCAATTAGCGTCCTATCAATCGGCACGCAGGTGGAAACCTGTTTCGCGATTCTCGACCTCAACATCCACTTCCATATCTTCAGTCTGCGCAACACTACTAGATATATTTATGTCAAAAATACACTATAAGGAAGCTTGAAAGCCCCATTTTTCAATTCAAAACAATCAATAATAAAATAGGAATCGCGATCGTAAACAATCACAATTTCAAATGCTCACAATTGTTTTAAAATTGGAATTATCGCGTGACATTGGAATAACTGATGTCACAAAGGCAACAAGATACATATATAAGATCAGGCTTACAGCTTTTAAGTGCACTATTGAATTCACTTGTTAACATCCTTGGCAATAGCTGGTGCCATGTGTTACGTTAAAAATATATATATTGAACAAAAATGAACTAAAAGAAAGCTAAGGGATGAACAGACTCCACTGTTCATATTCATTAGTATTTATGCGTGCGTATGAATTCCTGCATATCCAAGTAGGGAATTAACTAGCGATTGATTCATTAATCAATCGCCGGAGACAAGCCGCAATTTCTTGTATCACACCATGTCAGTGCGCACTTCAAACGGATCAATCATTGGAGTGTTTACAGTATCTTGCCATTCAACCGACAGTGCAAATATGGATAAAGAAAATTAACTAGGCATAAATTTCAAGGCAGATTGGTTCAAAGTTGCTATTATTAAAAAAGTATTTCATATTTGTGCCTGCTCTGTCATCATTGTTATGCAGCAAGATAAATCACCGTGTCAATATTAATTATCAAACGCTGTTTGCAATAAAAGTGTTTTTTATTGTACATCTCCTTTTTACGTTAATTTCCACAACTAAAAATATGACAGTACTCACTTTTCTTGGAATGGTATAAATAGCAAGCTGGCAGACCAAGATTTAAAAAGTAAAGGAATTTGGTTTGTTTTAATTATCTTACTAATAAATATTAAATAATATTATGTGTTGCCCAAACATCTGACCAATAGTCAAAAGGATTGTGTTGCTGTAAACATTTGCCCAGTTGATTCCAGCAAAACAGTGTTGATGCTGCTGCTGCTGTCTGTGCCGCATATAAGACCACTAGGTACCATTATCTCCCAGCAGCTAAGATTCTTCAAATACCTTACTGAGGAATCATATCTGAGTTGATCCTCATTGCAGAAAGACCAGTTGACAATCAACATGATGAATGCACCACGGTCTGGCTCTGTGTGCACATTCATTTCCAGAGAGGTTTTCATGAAAATTGGGCTGAAAAGATGGGCTTGCACAAAACTGCCACAAAAAATAGGCCTGCACAAAACTGCCACAAAAAATAGGCCTGCACAAAACTGCCACGAATTGTCAGCCCTCAAGCAAAACGACGATTGTGCTGGGTGCGAAAAAGGTTGCGAGTGTAGCGGAATAATTGCTGTACAGCATCAACCCTGTCGCCTTTCGTGCTCCCCTGCTTCACTTCGATAACTAAGAATAGTTTTGAGTACCATATTACTATGGCCTCATCGAGAGTAGCAACCTTTTCCTTCTGCCAACTGAAGGTGCGGCCAACAGATGCATTGCCTATGCTCTTCGTCTCCAAGCCAATGTCGATCCTTTCGTCCGACTGTGAATCCTCGCACATTTTATCTGTCGAGTGACAAGGCAAAATCTTTCTGAGTGGTACTGGCCGTGCCTTCTCCCCAAGAGAGCAGGTATCTAGTGCATGGCTGACCAAACTGACAAATACAAAAAGGCAATAATTGGCGAATATAATTATCTTCCAATGGATAACCTATCTGCCGAGTTGTGTGTGCTGGTCCACAATGAGAACTCGTTGCTGGCCAAGCACAGTTTGAATGCAATATTTTAATGGCTGTTTTTTTGACCATGTCGAGTGGCTGGAATGAACTGAATCAGCCATGATGAGCTGTTCAAACATGGCTGTGTTGTTGACTGTTATGTAAGTAGGTGTATTAAATAAACTACTAAAGTATATTTTGTCTAAAACTAAGCAAAGGCAGAAGAAAGAACTAATAAATGTTGTTTCGCCCTATTTATGACTGTGAGTCTTCATACTCACAAGGAAAAGGGCAACTGATAGGCATTCCCTATAAAGGAAGGCTGTGCCCAACATTATTTATCTAGTTATTCAAAACTTAAAACATGACGGATGATGTGATACAAGGAAATGCGGCTTGTCTCCGGCTATTGATTAATGAATCAATCGCTAGTTAATTCTCTACTTGTGTTATGTTGAAATACATATTTGAAAAATGAACTAAAAGAAAGCTAAGAGATGAACAGCCTCTACTGTTCATATTCATTAGTATTTATGCGTGCGTATGAATTCCTGCATATCCAAGTAGGGAATTAACTAGCGATTGATTCATTAATCAATCGCCGGAGACAAGCCGCATTTTCTTGTATCACAATGAGCATATAACCCAATAATAACATATATGTAAATTAGAATGCAGGGAAATAAAATGGCAATAATGATACAAAATGTGAGAGTAAAAAATAATTTGCGCCTACGAGATAAGTCATGCTTCTCTACCTTCCCCATTCATTTTACATTTTAAAATTTAAATATCTATACTCTTATTTAATATTGTTTTACTTAGTATTATTAGCAGTTTCATTGCAATGTATGCATTTGAAACTTTATCATATTATAGGCAAAATTAGTATTGTACTTGTTAGTCATTCCCGCTGGTTCATTGCCATATGCTCACCACTATTTTCTGTTTTCTTTTCTCTGCTCACCACTGTTTCTTCCCCTCGCGCTCCGCCTTCCGCCTGCCGCCATCATTCTGGCTCTGGCTGTCCCTTGGACTCACTGCTGTTTCTACGTCTTGCATACTGCTTTGCGCTTCTGTTATTTTACCACGTATTTTGTCTTGTGCTTGTCTTCCAATTCGCCGCTGCCACTTTAGCCTGAGCTCTATCTACACCAAGGATGCCACCACAGAACAAGTTCTGCATTTTTAAGATTTTATTAGCATTTTATTTACTGATTTTATTATAATTTAATGCAATAAATGCAAATGATTCCCAAAAAAATATTTTCAAAAATATTTTCAAAACTAAAATCAAAAATATAATTACATCGTTAAGCGTCACGCTTAAGTCATACCCAAAGCACGAGTCAGACGCAGACTAAATACCTCCCTGCATCTTCAAAAATCTCGACTTTCTGATATTTTAGGCCAAAAAACTAGAAAAATGGGTTTTGAAAATTTTCCGCTTAATAATCTGCAATTTCGCTATAAATGTCTGGAAATTCCAAAATACATCTTTACTAATGTAGTGCACATGAGTCAGGGTTAAAATTTAGAGGGAGGGGAAGGCGCTCTCATCCTGGAGGTTGACGTTGACACGGGGCTGACGGGGCTGACGGGGGGCGTTGCCACCGCGGGCACCAGCCGGACGGTCACCACGACGCTCACCACCGCGGGCACCGCCGCGGGCGCCGCCACGGGCGCCACCGCGGGCACCGTCGCGGGAGTCATCAGAGCGACGGGGCTGGTTCTCGACAAAGCGCTGCTCAATAGCAACAAGGGTCTTCTGCTTGCGCTCCTGGTTCTTCCGGCCCTTCGAGGCGTGAACAAACTGCTCGGCCTCCTCACGCACAAGCGCAACAGCGCCGTTCTGCAGCTGGCTCTGGTCAACACCACCCTCGTTGGCCTTGCGCAGAGTGCGACCGGCATCGATGCCACTGGCCTCACGCTCCTGGAGGTACTCCTCGAGGGTCTTAATAACCTCCTCGGGCTCCTGCTCAACAACGGGAGTAGCAACGCCATCCTGATCCTTCTTGGCCTCCTCGGCAGCCTTGGCATCATCCTCGACAAGAGCCTGGTCCTTACCGAGCCAGCCCTGAGTCACCTTCTTCTCAGAGTCGTCCTTACCAGTGGCACTGTGACGGTCAAACTCACGGCCGCGACCACGGTAGGCGCCGGCACCACGACCGCGCTGGCCATGGTGAGCGGGACGGGGGGTCTTATTGAACTCCGAGGGGGCATCAGCGGCATCAAAGCCGGCGGTCTGACGCTGGGTGTGGCGAGGAGGGTAGCCGGTGTTGGCTCTGCGCGGGCGGTCGGCGGCGGGGGTTGCGGCGGCGGCAACGGGAGCGGCAACCTTGACGGGGGCCTTGGTCTGCTTGGGGGCAACCTGGATGGGGACGTTGGTGTCCTCGGCGTTGTCGTTCAGCACGCTAAACGGGTTAGTGTTAACGACGGACATCTTTTATTGTGCTATCTGCTGTTGAATTCGGAAATAATAAATCCGTTATTTATGAATTCCAAGTTAATCGGGAACGTGCGCGGCCGGGTTTTTGTTGTGAATAAAAATAATAAAAGTAAGAAAATAAGAAGAGCAGTAAAAGAGTCAAAAATTAGTCGGCGTACGGTATAATATAACGAAAAGGAGGAAGACAAAAGGTTTGGTCGGCCAACTTTACTAATGGCGAGCGATAGGGTTATTCTGTAAAGAAAAAGTCAGACAACACGGCCCAGTCTAAATTTTTGACAATATGAGCAACAGACACCCCACACCCGATAAGAAGAGGTCTGTTTGGCGGTCTGTTTCAGATTGATCCCCAAGGGCCACGCATTGCTCTGCCAACAAAAAACTAAGCCAGACACCAGCGCAGACGCAGACAGGTAAGGACACGCTCATGCCCTACTCCGCCCTGCCACGCTTCCAAGTGGCATTAGATATTTTCAAATTGACTCAATAAGCATTTGGAATGTCCAAATTCGCTTGAATTCAAATTTTCCATTTCGCCTGACTTCCATCTCTGTCAAAAATTTCTGTGATCCGTAAAGGGTCCCAAGCCGGTGCGGATGCGTTCCGCTCTGACCGTTCCCGTAGATTGCACTGTAAAATAGCGATGGATCCATCCAGCATTTCACACTTACATGATGTGTTGGATACGGGTTAAAAAAAAGTTTTTTGGAAAGTGGAAACACGAGCCAAAAATTGATCCCCACTTTTGGTGGAAAAATTCAACGCCCATTCGCGCAACAATCACTCTCATCATAAACTCTCCCCCCTCCCAATCCTTTTCAGTTTTATTTTGGCAACTTCTGGTTTTGGATTCAGTCCAAAATAGAATAGTCTGAAATTTGCGTTAAAATCAGGTTCTGGATGTCGATCCCCTTTTTCGATTGATTTTAGAGGAGTTGACACTTGATAATTGTGCAAGGACCATTTTAAATTGCGTTTTTGTATTTTGATGGGCATGACTCGCCCGAATCGGCCGTCGAATTGTACTAATACACTTTTATTCAGACAATCTGGCACATTCAAATGGTAGTTTTTAAGCAACTGATTAAATAATTATCAACCAAAACATAGGATTTGGTCATGATGTATTTTTGGAACAAATACTATGTAGATTCTTATTTATGACAACTTGGAAAAAGCTATGAGAAAAATCAAGGGGATTTAATTAAACATCTACATGAGTCGACAACAATTCTAGACATGCTTGCCAAGATGAACAACCAAAATAAAACATCTATGCCTGCTAGGCCATTTTGCATTGGGGTAATGGGTGCTAACGGTGTTCTACTCGTGGCCATTGCCAATAAGAAAATGTGGAGTAAAGTGTTTTTTATTGCATTGAAACATAGAAGACGCTTCCTTTTTGTACACACCACGTCCTTTTCTTGCATCCATGTACATCTATATAAAATAAAATACTCCATTTTTACCTAGTGTTCATTAAAGCTACTCCCAATATTTTATTGTAGTAAGAATATATGGAAGTATTAATTACAATGTGTCCATTTTTTTTCTTCTATCGCCCATTTTCAGCAAAAAATGTGACCAAGGTAAATATCGGGAGCAATGCCATTATATCCAACCTGGAGTATTTGTTTCACAAAATAGGCAGCTATTTTGTGTATTTTGAAGATATAAAAACATAAACAATTATGTTTGCTGATTTCTATAAAAGGCCAAGCATTTTCTGCAATACGTTTTCAGTTTTTCTATATCCACACTTCAATTAGTAAATACACTGCTTTCAACTTGAACACTACTACCTATCAGCTTAAATTATATAATTCCAAATGTTTTTACTAAATGCTCCATTAGGGTATAAATGCGATGCTCCTGGTTGTGGTGAGGAGTTTGCAACTAGAAAGGAAAAATCAGATCATTTTAGAAAAGAGCATATGCATCGTCAATAAAAAATTATCAGGCTTTCGTATAATTTTAGATTTTATAAAGTGTAGAGTGTAGAGTATTTCCAGTTTAAGCGCTCTCTTCTTATGCAACCATTCAATGACTTTTAAATTTCAGGTATTTTGATTTTTTAATTATAAATAAATTTATGCCAAAATTTTGTTTTGTAGAAATTAATAAAAAAAGTTATTTGTATGTGTTGCGTAGCCCAAGAACATGAAGGTGAATAATGAGCCAGATACATAAAACAGGTTTCAATCCACATGTCAATTGATTGTACACGGGTTAAAGCATAGAAGAGTAAATTGGGGCACTAATGATGATTCCCATATACAGGTCTGTTATAATAAAAGGGTATATGAGGACCACTAGTTGTCTGGTGTTCAAGTTATGTTTGGGTTTTGTTATAGTTTTTATTATCAAGGCAATCAAAAGTAGAACTAGGGCCGGCCTCATCTTATATATATGCCTTGTCGCCTTGTGCATATTGTCAATTGTGCGCTCCGTTGGTGAGAACTGGATCTTCTGCAAGCAGACCGGTATCTTGGCAAGTCAATGCTGTGGTTTTCGCGTATGTGCGCTCATGCGTGTGCATTGCAAGATGGGGAGCATGTTTGGGCATCAATTTAATGCCTCCCTAATTTACGCCTGCATGATCCAATTGGCGTCCTATCAATCGGTACGCAGGTGGAAACCTATTTCGCGATTCTCGACCTCAACATCCACTTCCATATCTTCAGTCTGTGCAACAGTATGTATCCACAAAAAAAACAAAAAAAGCTGATATTGTATTGAAAACAATGTTTAACTTTTGCTTAAAAAAACCTTTTTGCTAGTGCGCAGCCCATAAAGTGTCTGATATTTTGCGTACCAATCTACGTCTAGACAAAAGATCCAGCAACACAACATACATACCCACGCCAACACCGCGCAGCTCGCCTCCCTCTAGCCTTCTGCCCTCCTCCATGACTAAATCATCCAAGGTCCAGATTCTCTGTTCCTGCGACCGCATCAGCTCATACAGCTCTCGCAACTGCTTTGACGCTGGAGCGCACCGAAACGCCGGCGGGAAAGCTTCCAGATCAAGCACAGTTCCCAGCGGCATCTCCGTCTCCTCCGTCTCCTCCAAATCCTCAGTCATCTCCAAATCCCTCATACCATCATCAGAAAGCGCCGCCGAGCTTTCAGCAACCTGAGCTGCGCGCTGCAGCATTTCGCGGGTGGGCAGAATCGATGTAGTGCCGTCCATCGACGCCAACGTAAATCCAGCATCAATCGTCAGACTGCTGTCGTTGAGTTGCACCCCGCTAGTATGGTCGTATGTGGCGGTGCCGTCAGATGCGCTGGCTGCACGGTTAGCCCAGGAGCGCGTCGATGCCGGGTACTCGTCCTCGACTGCCAGTGGCCGCAAGGACGGCAAGGACAAGGGAACTGGTGGCCGGATGCCTGGCGCAGGGCGTGCTGGTGTTTGCCCAAAGGGATCGTCGGCATCGGCGGAGCCGCTGAGCGCGTGGAAGTGCGGGGATGTTGGGGCGACGGGCGCCGTGGGGGCGGCGGGTGGCCGCATGCGACTGCGCAGCGCCAGGGGTGAGAGCTGCCCGATGGTCATGTCCGCCAGGTCTGCTTCCTCCATGCGCACGGTCACTCGCGCTGCATTATGCATGCGTCGCGCCGGTGCCGACTCCGGCGATGGCGCCGGCTGTGGGATGTCTGGGATGACTACGCGCGAGCCTTCGAGACTCGAGACAATCTGCGGCGGCGACGGAATGTCTTCGTCAAAGTCGTCGGCGCCAAAAT